TATCAGAGGCTAGAAAAAACTTCGCTCTGTTGAGAGACTGAAAGAAAAGATGTTGCGAGGTAGGGTTTGGAAATCAATCGCTGGAACTGAGAATGCAGTCGGTCACGCAGACAGGAAGACAGGGAACGGCGTCCATGCAATGAATTTGGTGGCCCTTTGCTGTCTTCGTCGGAGACTGAACAGAGGAATGTAAGAGAAGAAGGAAACTGAACCGTTTTCGTCTTTTGATTTTGGGTTACTATTTCTTAGTTTAATAATTTTACTCAATTTATAAAAGTAAAGGGGAAAAAAATGGGCCTTTAATTCAATTGAGCCTGGATGCCTTATGGCTGGATTAATGGGCCTCTAGCCGGCCAAAGGGCCGGGCCCGGTGCTAGTAATCAATAAGGAAAGATTAACCAATTAATTGAGAACTAATTAAATGCGAGTCAATTCCATTTCTGTATTGTATTAATTACTCAATTTCCAAGTGGCTGTTTTTTATTAGTTGAGAGTACCATGTCAGTAAAATGACATGGTGATCTCGGAGCATGGAAGAATTTCTATTGCATCCACTCTATCTAAAAATACCAATGCTATAGTGCCACATCTACAAGAACCACTCGTGTCATATGCCAAATTCGGGACCTGCTACCTGCCACTCAGGTGGTCTTCTGCACCAAATACAATCACATACCCTATAAAACATATTAATGGAATTCCAACATTTTATCCCTGATTTTAAACGTACCCTAAAGACAAACCAAGTTATGTAGCCAGCCTTAATTGACAAATGTGTGGCATTTTCTAAATCAATATAGTGTAACAAGCATTAAGAACACAACTACATTGAGAACACAAATACCAATTGCTTCTACACAACATTTAGGATGACAACTACGTTTTCAGAAACCTTTTGCTTCTCATACCAATGTCGATTAATTTCCTACCATATAATAACGTGATGCAACATAAGAATAACCAATATTAGGTTCAGTACGACAATCACTATCAATAAAGCTCGAATTACATGGATTTCATGATTAACTCTCCTTCCTTCATCTAGCATAATTTCATGTGCCTTCATCCATCTTGATAGCTCTTCAGCCAAAAGTTTCTTCTCCTTCTTCCTCCTTTCCGCCTTACACTCAGCTAGCCTCAAACTTTCTTCAATATTCAAAGTCGAACACCCAATTTCAGAGTCATGGTGCTTATCTTCATCGACATTCATTCGCACCCACCTAAAAAAACGACAGTTCTTCTTCTCGTCCTGCACCATACGAGCATTTAACTTAGAACCCACATCAATGACAATTTCAAAACCCATATCTAAACACCTTACCATCCAAAATGGACACCCATAGAACTGTCTTCTTGGGTTCGCTTCGGTTCCAGATATATTCACCACACATGGCTTCTTGTGCCAACAGAGCACCGCCCCTCGGCTATTGATGCTAGTCGAAGTTGAGGAAGATGCTCGATTGGACATGGCTGACCTTCGCGTGAAGTTCTGGCCAGGAGAAATCGCGATTTCGGGGTCGCGAATCGGCCGAGAAGAAGTGGGATTTGGGGAAGAAGGAAGAAGCGCCAAGTCGTTCAGAAACTAGAAGAAGATTTGGGGAAGAGGAGTAAGCATCGATCAGCTTCGTGTATCTCCTTCGTGGGGAAGAGGAAATTTGGGAAGAACCCTAATTTCGTTTTCTAGAAAGAGATGGAGAAGAAGGAAGCCCTAATTTCGTTTTCTGGAAATAGATGGGGATTTTTGGTAGCCTCGTGCGATCAGGTAGATGGGGAAAGTTTTAAATTTTTTTAATAATAAATAAATTATTAAGATGATGTGTCAATTTTTGCTTTGTTGTCGCTGACGTGGTTGATGATTTGGCGCCTCGTCAGCGAACCGTCAAATAAGTTGACGAAGTTATTAACGCCGTCATAGTTTCTAACGAAAATGGCTATATCTGGCACGCAACAATCAACATCTTTCAAAAGTGGCTATTAGTGGTATTTCGCCAAATGTGGCTATAAGTGGCACAAAGGTGAAAGTTTTGGCTATGCAAGTGTATTTTGCCTATAATTTATAATGATCGTTAGATTAAATCTACGGTAGAAAATCATACAAGTATTCATTCCATAGCCTAACTCCTTCAATTTAAAACTAGATCGTCTAACTGAAGCATGCCATCACTATCAAATTGTATCGATTAAGATTTGCTATTGCTAATCTCAATAATCCAAATTGTACCAAATAAGATTTGCTATTGCTAATCTTATTCAGTTATGATAACCAATACATTTCCCAAACACTACAAATACGTTTTAGTTAGAAGGCCATTAAAGATTTGCTATTGCAAACCTTAAATTGAAACTAACTAACATTTTATTAAAAATGTTTTAACCCGGACAAAAACTGGTGTCTACAAGTAGTATGGAAGGTTTATTGTCCAAATACATGGTATGCACATGTAGATAGCTTTTTCATATAATATAGTCACGGTAAAGCCATTGACTTCTATACAAAAATTGTCGTCGTCTTCATTTATTTTGCTTTACTTCCTTAATTATTTTTGTTATTATGTTTAATTGTTACAACATATGTATACAAAACGTGTACATTTAAACTATAAAAATACCTGTACAGCATTTATGGTTAAGATTTGCTATTATCATCGCAAGGTTGCCTGTTAGATTCTCCATATTCTCTTATTTCTTTTACCCACATCCATGAAATCATGTTTCAGCTACGCTTATGGAACGACGTCGTCCTGGGGACACTCTCGCTTTAGCAGCAAGCACAAACGACGACGTTTGTCATGTCTCATCGTCTTCCCTGGGCAGTAATTGGAGATAACCATGGTTTTGATGGTTGTTGGGTTTTGATGGCTGTTGGTGAGATAAATGGTTAGCTATGAGGTAGCTTGGGTGAACAGATAATGGCCTTTTGGATAGTCGAGTTGGGGTGTGGTATGTTGATGATACAGTAATTTGAACCAAATTAACATGAATTTTGTTTCATAACTTTTCATTAGGCAACTGATCCCATTTATAAGTAATTGAGAAATGTTTTGATAAGTATAGAAAGATAAAAGCAAAAATTCATTAAGAAGGGCAGAACCCGTACAAAAAACCATTGTGTTCACACACTTAGTACACTTGCATAACAAGAGAAATAACATTAAGGCAGACACTAAGCAACTTTAGTAGATTCTATTGACATTGCTGAAATGGCATTCAGTTTCCGGGAGGAAAAAATAATTTTACCAATAACAGCTCAAAATAACTCGACACATTGTTCCAAGGACCCAATGTGACCATAAACTCATAGGAGTTTCCACCAATCAAGTTGATAAGGGTAACGAAATCGGCATTGGCCATATCTTTATCACTTACTACATCTGAAACGATTTTGCGCAAGTTTGTCGATGGGAAAACAACATCAATATCCAAATAATCATCCTCGATACTTAGGTGGATCAAATGAACTCTACATTCAGCACACCAGGATGTCTTCACCTCGCCGACACGTCCGGAGATGAGGTAAGAAGTACCCTGGTGTTTAAAACAAGAAAAGGAATTTCAAAAAAAATTAACAAGCATTAACAAACCACAATAATTGCTAACGAGATCGAAAGGATGAATGACAAAAAATTTAATTTCAAATTTTCAATAACCTCATCGTCACCATTCTCTTGCAACAATGTAAGATCGATTGAATCCGACAAAATAGACATATGTACTGCTTCCTCATACTTCAACTTTGCAACGAAACCAGGCTCAACCATAAAGTCGCTATAAAAAAAACCGTTAGACGTTAGTAATGGCATTCAATAGGAAAAGGAAGCGGAGTAGACTGTCGTAACGATTAGTTGGTAAACAATACTTACGGGTACCATTGCGATATATCATCCATTGTCAGAAAATTACAGCACGGAAACCCTACTCAATTTCTGTTCTTGCACGTACTGTGGATGTTCAATAGGAGTATAAGAACACATTATGATCAACTATTCTAATAGAATGTACCAAATAGTTAACAATCAATTAAAGAAAATTACATGCGACGGTGGAAACGTGGCCGACGACACCGCATGCTTAGTCGAGCATATCGGGAACGAGTCAGCGGCGGAGGTGGCAAGCGACGATGGTGGCCCGCTCTTCTTCCCACAACCGACGTGGTTAGTCCGGGCGACTTTCCTCCGCTCTTCTTCCCACAACCGCTACAGCGAATCAGCGGCGGAGGTGGCAGGCGACGATGGTTGCCCGGAGGAGGAGACCGCTACTGAGCGACCAGCGGTTGCTTGACGGGCGGAGGCGGAGACATGCAACGGAGGCGGAGGGAGGATGAGGGCGGTTGAGTATGTGTCTAATCAGTTTGAAGGAAAACCGAGAAGGCAGCGCATGGGGAGGGGAGAAAAAGCAGAAGATAAATCGTTTGCTAGATTTGGTAGGTAAGTAGTCTTCCAATTTTCAACTTTGCCATTATTGTTCTCTGTTTTATTTTATTTTATACAATTGATTATTGTTAAAGAGACAAAGTGAGGGCAGGGGCAGCCCCCGATCTGCTCGACTAAGCCCTATTGGGCCTGGTACAAAAGGCCTGCTTAGTTTAGTTTTGTGTTTTAATTTTACAAGAACTCATTTTATAGTTATAAATATAACAGTGGAAGTATATTGAATCAAAATCCTTGTTCAGCATGAATGGTGAAGAATGCCCATGGTAATGACCAGGACGCTGGTTCGACCCTCATACCATTACAAATTTCTTTTGTTTTCAGCTACACCTATAGAACGACGTCGTTCTCCAGGCCACTTTCGATTCAAAGAAGAGCACAAAACGATGCCGTTTTTTCATGTATCGTCGTCTTCCCTAGCCCCCCAAATTCCCAATTATCAGGAAACTTGTCCCTACTGACTTGAACGAGGTAACTTCTAAGAAACAATCCACGAACTGGATGCTGAACGCGTTTACACATTTCCACAAGATCCTTAAGCACGTCTTTGGGCGGAGCTTCCTTTGTTTTCATATACACTGATCCAACCGTACAGAGTAGATACCTGGTAACGAATACCACGTTTCAGCTTCACAATCCACTATACTAGCGCTCGCGAAATTCAAATTTATTCTAAGACGAGCTTCAACAGTTGAATTACCCCAACACAGGCACTGGTAAGTAAGAACTTACAGTCTAGGCAATATGTTGCCTGCGTGGTGTACAAGCTCATACAAATCGACGACCAAAACTCCATGCCTGCTCTCGTCCTTGAAGAACATCTCCAGCTTCCTCATCTCATCAAACGCTCGCATATCTGCAAATCCTCACCAATAATGTGCAATCAGTGTCTAAACTCTCTTCGGTTCGATGAAACAAAATCAGAGTTCTGAGTTTGAAGAGAGTTCAGAGAGCGAATGAATTACAGAGCTCGTAGTACTTGTGAGGCGACAGCTTCGACGTCCGGAGCTCGGAAAGCATCTGAGCTGAGTACTTAAGAGCATCTCTAAGATTATTAGCGTCCTGAGAAGACGAAGAAGAACAATCACAAATTAGGTTTTCCATCGCCGTACCAATTCAACGGAACGAGAAGAGAACAGAGAAGTAGACCGATAAACTAATCTCGAGAAAGAGTTGTCATAATGACGATGATGGTGGTTTAGGATTGTCGAATTGGGCCAACCTTTTAATGGAACTTTATTTTATCAATTGTATAATTTTTGGGTGTTCATTAAAAGATCTAGAAGAAATAAGGTATCATCTGAGTTCTCACAAAAATGAATAGGTATCATGTGAGAAAATAAAACGCAAATTATTATTGGGGGGCTACATAGCACATATAATTATTTAATGGGTGCAAGTAGTAATTATTATTACTAATTTTAATATAATTTATAATGACCGTTAGATTAGATCTAGGGTAGAGAATCATGTCGCATAGTATGTGTCTGACGCATACGAGTCGTTTCCATATATATATATATATATATATATATATTCACGTGGATGGGTACAAACTAACCATACATGCATTTAAAACCAACGTGACCAATATTGCCATTATATTTCACCATTACTTATATATATATATATATATATATACACGCATACATATATAGCCTCTGTCAAACAAAGGATTGGTTTATAGTTATTTTGTTTGAGATTATGTTATTATTAAATCTAATCGAACTTTCTGTTGTGAATATAGTTCAATATGTCAAATTTGTCAAAACTTGAGTTTGTGGCACTTGACATCACCGGAAAGAATTATCTATCTTGGATATTGGATGCTGAAATCCATCTAGATGCAAGAGGTCTCGGTGATACTATCAAAGAAGGAAATAAAGCCTCAAGTCAAGATAAGGCAAAGGCCATGATTTTTCTACGTCACCACCTCCATGAAGGATTAAAGGTTGAATACCTTACGGTGAGAGATCCAGTCGATCTTTGGAATAATCTGAAGGAAAGATACAACCATCTAAGGACTGTGATCCTTCCAAGCGCACGTTTTGAGTGGTTACACTTACGGTTCCAAGATTTTAAATCTGTAAGCGAATATAATTATGCAATATTCAAAATTACGTCACAGCTGAAATTGTGCGGAGAAAAGATCACTGATGAAGATCTCATGGAAAAGACATTTTCCACATTTCATGAATCAAATGTGTTTTTGCAACAACAATATCGTGAAAAAGGTTTCAGGAGGTATTCTGAACTTATTTCCTGCCTCCTGGTAGCATAACAAAATAACGAACTTCTAGTGAGGAACCACAGAGCCCGACCAACTGGTGCTACTGCATTCCCAGAAGTGAATGCGACAAGATATAACAAGTGCCGACCTCATGGTCGTTGTCATGGTCGTGGTCAAACCAGTCGTGGATATGCACGAGGTGGCAATCCTTATCCTGGACGTGGGTTTCCACATGGTAATAGTTCAAAAAGCACATATGAACATGGTGGTAGTTCCAAAAATGCACATTTCCACCAGAAGTGGAAAAATAATAACAAAGTAGTGAAGGGTCAAGATGGTCACAAAACATCCGAGAATACTTGTTACCGTTGTGGCGGTAAAGGTCATTGGGCTCGTACCTGCCGTACGCCAAAACATCTCATAGATCTTTACCAAGAGTCAATCAAAGGAAAAGGAAAAAATATTGAGACAAATATGGTTTGTCAAGAAAATGCTCCTGAACATGGTCTATCTGACTTCACGCATCTAGATGTGGCAGACTTCTATGCCAACCCAGAAGAGAAAAATTGATCACTTGTTTGGTATTTTATGACTTTGTCATCATATCAATATTTCGTATTTTCCTTGAATAAATGTTGTATTTGAGAACTTGTTATGTTTATCCTCTTGTTTGAATGTTTTAAATTAATGTTGTATTTCAAATATCTTTTGGTTGTAAGCTTGTTGTTCTTCGAATAAAAGATTTTTAATTGTTCACAGTTTGGTATTGGAGAATGGCTTTAACCATTGGGATCACCGACACCAATAACCAAGATTTATGCCTTATTGATAGTGCATCAACGCACACGATCCTGAAAGATAAAAAGTATTTCTCATATTTGGAAATGAGAAAAGCCAGTGTTAGTACTATTTCAGGAAAAACAAACATCATTGAAGGCTCCGGAAGAGCTAATTTATTATTGGCAGGAGGAACAAGATTGTGCATCACTGATGCCTTGTATTCAAGCAAGTCTTGAGACAATAAATGGAGATGATACAGAATATATCTTCATCACCAATATGGCATCAGGTGAAAAATGCATATTGGAAAGATTGCCTGAATTTTCCTCCGGTTTGTACTATACGTACATTAACATGATTGAAACACATGCAATTGTGAACCCGAAGTTCGCAAATCATGATGAGTTTTTTATCTGGCATGATCGATTGGGTCATCCAGGATCAGTCATGATGCGAAGGATAATTGAAAATTCATATGGCCATCTGTTAAAGGAACAACGAATACCACAATGGAAGGAAATATTATGTCCTGCTTGTTCCTAAGGAAAGTTGGTTGTAAGACCATCAACAGAGAAATTGATAAATGAATCTATCAGATTCTTGGAACGTTTACAAGGGGATATTTGTGGACCAATACACCCTTCTTGTGGACCATTTAGGTACTTTATGGTATTGATTGATGCATCAACTAGATGGTCACATGTTTCATTACTATCCACCCGCAACTTGGCGTTTGCGAGGTTACTTGCTCAACTAATACGATTACGAGCTCATTTTCCTGATTACCCAATCAATAAAATACGATTGGATAATGCTGGTGAGTTTACATCCCAAACTTTCAATGATTATTGTATATCTTTGGGAATTGATGTGGAACATCCTGTAGCACATGTGCATACACAAAATGGTCTTGCTGAATCATTCATCAAACGTTTACAGCTAATTGCAAGACCATTACTTATGAGAACAAATCTCTCGGCCTCCTGTTGGGGCCATGCCATTTTGCATGCAGCAAATTTGATTCGCATAAGGCCAACAAGTTATCATGAGCAATCTCCATTGCAGTTGGTTTTTGGCAAGGAGCCTAATGTGTCCCACTTGAGAATATTTGGGTGTGCAGTATATGTACCAATTGCTCCACCACAACGCACAAAGATGGGACCTCAGAGAAAGTTGGGAATTTATGTTGGATATGAGTCTCTTTCAATCATTAAGTATCTAGAACCAACGACCGGAGATCTATTTACAGCCAGATTTGCTGACTGTCACTTTGATGAAACTGTCTTCCCAAAATTAGGGGGAGAGAAGAAACAGCCAGGAAATGAGATAAGTTGGAATGAATTATCATTATCTCATTTCGATCCTTGAACCCCACAGTGTGAACTTGAAGTTCAAAGAATAATTCATTTGCAAAGTTTAGCAAATCAATTGCCAGATGCATTTACTGACTTGAAAAGAGTGACCAAGTCTCATATTCCGGCTGCTAATGCTCCGATTAAGGTCGATGTCCCTATTGGTCAAATTGATGTGGCAAATGAATCAAAGGCACGCATGAAGTGTGGTAGACCTTTAGGTTCTAAAGATAAAAATCCTCGCAAAGGAAAAGGGATGAAAAATCAAGATGGTCCATGTAAGGATTCCATTAATCAAGAAAAATCTCCAAACATAATTACATCCGTTCCAGAAGAACATCAGGTACCTGAGAAAGATGAAAATACAGAGATCTCGATTAATTATGTTTTTGATGGAGAACAATGGAACCGCAATGAGGTTGAAGTCAATGAAAGTTTTGTGTACAATATGGCAGTTGATATCATGAATGAAAATGAAGATCATGAACCAAAATCTATTGAGGAATGTAGACGAAGAGATGATTGGTTAAAATGGAAAGATGCGATATCTGCAGAACTGAATTCACTTACAAAGCGAGAAGTGTTTGGACCTGTAGTCCGTACCCCTCACAATATTAAACCAATAGGGTACAAGTGGGTATTTGTGCGAAAGCGCAACGAACATGGGGAAATTGTGAGATATAAGGCCGGACTTGTTGCACAAGGGTTCTCACAGAGACCTGGAATTGACTATGAGGAGACATACTCCCCAGTAATAGATGCAACTACTTTTCGATATTTAATCAGTTTGACGGCTCAAGAAGGATTAGACTTGAGACTGATGGATGTCGTCACAGCTTATTTATATGGCTCACTTGATAGCGATATATATATATATGAAGCTACCTGAAGGATTTAATTTTCCAGAAGCAAATAAATCAAACCCACGAGAACATTACTCGATAAAACTGAACAAGTCATTATATGGGTTAAAACAATCCGGACGAATGTGGTTTAATCGTCTCAGTGAATACTTATTGAAAGAAGGCTATAAGAATAACCTTATCTCCCCATGTGTTTTCCTAAGGAATCTGGCAAAGAATTTGTCATCATTTCGGTTTATGTTGATGACATAAATATTATTGGGACTCCTGAAGAGCTTTCAAAAGCAGTAGATTGCTTAAAGAAAGAGTTCGAAATGAAGGACTTAGGAAAAACTAAGTTTTGTCTTGGATTACAAATCGAGCACTTTAGCAATGGAATTTTCATTCATCAAGAAGGGTATTTAAAGAAGGTATTAAGAAAATTCTATATGGATAAATCACATCCATTAAGCACACATATGGTTGTGAGATTACTGGATGTGGAAAAGGATCAATTTAGGCCTCGAGAAACTAATGAGGAGATACTTGGTCCAGAAGTACCATATCTTAGTGCGATCGGGGCATTAATGTATCTTGCTAATCATACAAGACCAGACATATCATTTGCTGTCAATTTGTTAGCAAGATTTAGTTCTTCACCTTCTCGAAGACACTGGAATGGCATAAAACACTTATTAAGGTATCTTCGAGGAACAATGGATATGGGTCTGTCCTATTCAAAATTACCCAAAGATAACTTAGTGGGATACGCAGATGCTGGGTATCTGTCTGATCCGCATAATGGTCGATCACAGACTGGCTATTTATTTACATATGAAAGTGCAGCCATTTCATGGAGATCCATAAAACAAACAATAACAGCCACATCCTCTAATCATGCAGAAATCTTAGCAATACACGAGGCAAGTAGTGAATGTGTATGGTTAAGATCCATAATTAAAAACATCAACAAGACTTGTGGTTTATCTCTTTAAGAGATGATTCCGACTATCATGTATGAGGATAATGCGGCATGTATCACACAATTGAAGGAAGGGTATATAAAAGGGGATAGAACAAAACATATTTCACCAAAAATTTTCTTCACCCATGATCTTCAAAAGAATGGTGAAATAAAGGTACTTCAAATTCGGTCATGTTATAATTTGGCGGATTTGTTCACAAAATCACTTCCTACTGCAACATTCGAGAAGTTAGTCTACAAGATTGGAGTTCGTCGACTCAAGGATCTTCAGTGATATCAAGATGAGGGGGAGCATATACGCACACTGTACTCTTTTTCCCTTAACCATGGTTTTTTCCCACTGGGTTTTCCTGGTAAGGTTTTTAACGAGGCAGTATGCATGCGTATTAGAAGCAACGAGCTCTACTCAAACTACTCAACAATGGACATCCAAGGGGGAGTATTATAGTATTGAGTGGATGTCCATCATACACATCCTCCATCTACTATCTCCCAACCCCCTATAGATCACCATTATGATTATCATTATGGCTTGGTCTCACTCATTGCCTATAAAAGGCAATCAAGTAGCAGAGAAAAGGACACACCAAAAAGCCATATAGCTTCTTCACTTCTCCCTTGTAGCCATATCATTATTTGTAGCTTGTACTACGTGGGTATTAATAAAGAAGTTACTCTTCTTATTACCTTATTGTTTATTCCGGAGTAATTATTTGATAACACTTTTTCCTTTTTTCCTTGTTTATTAACTTTTCGATTTATAATAAGTGTTTCCTTTTGAAATATTAAATGGAACCCACCTTGGCAATTGCTAGCATAATTTAGGGATGTAGATGAATAGAAATTGATAAGTGATGAATTGCTAAAATTGATGATGTGGCGGTAGGGACCTCGTTTAGAAATTGTTGTTCAATTTTAGGGATGAAGATGATCAATACACTAACCCAATACCATATACTCTAAACCATCAACACCTTATACAATATCGTATTTTGGGGATGGAGATGATCAATACACTAACCCAATACCATATACTCTTAACCATCAACACCTTATACAATATCGTATACCTATACGCTGATAAAATTTTTGCCCAACTAGATTACATAGGTACTTCAAAAATGAAATTACAACTTGCTTTTCAAAACATAAATTAAAAATTGATACTCACTAAGTATCGAACCACAAACGTCTACTTTATTGACTAAGCAAATAAAGGACAATTAACCAATTAAGGTACATCACATTGATGACCATCTTGCATAATTTCGCTTTCTTATTAAGTGAAAGGTTAAAATGAACGATAAATATATCACAGGGGATTGTTTCAACTTCGTCGGGGACTGAGAGAGTGGAAAAGGGGTAATTATTCTACCAAAAAAGGGGGGGGGGGGAATTAACGAAGAGTTAAATTGGACGGATTGTCTTTAGCACGCCACTACCACCCAAAATCCTTCGGAGCAAAAACATGTTGGTTCAAGTCAAAGAATAAATGAAGAAAGATGAAGTTAAGAACTCTAACTAATTTTGATTCCATATGTGGCGAATCGCTAATGGCCGGGATAACCAACATGCCAAAATCGTTAATGAGAACCTACTTTGCACACACCAAATCATTTTATCTCGTACCGATAAATGTGTAAAGAGACACACTACAATAATTATGTCTAAATTTCCTGATAATAAGGCATGATCAGCATTTATAAGCACATGTTAAGAAAATATAAAATCAAGAAAAATAAAACAACACCTACCCTCAGCCGAACCAATCAATACAATATGCTCTAGACCATCAACAATTCAACACCTTATAACCTACCCATATACCATATACTCTAAACCATCAACAACCTAATACCCTAACCAGTCAGTAATCATTACATTAACCATAAACACCTTATACAATAATCGCATACCTATACACTAATAAAATTTTACATTTTGAAAATACTTGCCCAAGTAAAGTACACAGGTACTTCAAAAGTGAAATTCTAACTTTCGTTTCAAAACATAAATTTAAAAAATGTCCTCACTAAGTATCCAACCACAAGCCTCTA